TTGGTGGTTTCGTTGCCTAAACTCAACAAACTGATCTGAAACATTTAAGTGTGACAAACATGCAAAACAATAAGAAATCAGGAAGGGGGCAAACACTTTTTCACACAACTGTATGTGGATAGATATATAGCTGGATGGATAGATGGATAAAAGATGATTTACTGTCATTTTACTGCATCACTATTAAGAGTACGTAGAGAGACATACAGGAGAGCATCAAACCATGAATATTTCATTAGCTGATATATTTCACATACAACCAGATTGTAAAACACGTCTGCTGCTCAGAAATAACAACCACACCGGAGAGCGAGCCGAGGGAACGCTCTCTCCATCTGTGCGGATCATTTCCCAGAATGCCCAGTGCGGATGAACGCCTCATTGGCCCAGTTCTGTTCAGCGGGAAGCCGCTGGAGGTAGACGGTCCAAGGACGAAGCCGCAGGTAGGAAACGAGGCCAGGAAGCTCATTCGTCTCCTCAAACCGTCGGGACGTTCACGTTCACAGAATGAGTCCTGCTTAGCGCAAAGTGGGTCAACTTCAAAACACTTACAGTATACGAAAAAATGCTCATTTGTTTGAATGATCCACAACAAATTCCAAATATTGTCATATTTGGAATATAAGTGCATGTAAATGTTGTCGTTCCTTTTAAGTAGCAGAACTTCAAATAACTCAACATGGACTTGAACATCGGTCTCCTGGGTGAAATCTGACAGTAAACGAAACAAAGTGGAAGTTTTTCACCACGGTGTATCCTCTGAGGACCGTGAACATTCAAAGTAAAATTTCATGGTTTTTAATAATAGTGTGTTTTTCATATTTTCTTAATGTCTGATTCGTGTAAAGAACTTTATATCCCCGTGTTGCTGAAAACTGCTAAAACGTACAAACTTTTCTTCCACAGTCCCACAAAGTCCTGTGGGAAACGCTGCCTCGTATTGTGCACCGTTAAAGATTACAATAAGTCATGTGAGACAACTGTTGAAGAGATTCATCATCATCATCATCATCATCATCACTCCACAGTTCTTGGTTCATCTTCAGCTGAAGTTCAGCGCTGTGTAAAGCCACTCGTCCACCTCACAGAGAGCAGCGATCAGAACTGAGCAGGCTTCAGATCCCTTTCTTCTCACCGTGTCAATCACATCTCGTGCTTTATCTGCTCTGTTTCTTGTTCTGATCGACTGCATTTCAGCGTCAGTAATCACTCCGCGCTCAAGAAGTTTATCCAGCAGCTGGTCCAGGACAGAATCAGACACTCTGTTGACAAATTGAGTCCGAACTGAGACCAGCTTCTGTTCTGCCGGGACCCTGTCCTGTGCCGGGACCCTGTCCTGTGCCGGGACCCTGTCCTGTGCCGGGACCCTGCCGGGATTTGTCTGTTGAATTCCCGCTCTTGGACCTAGAAGATAACCAAGAAAATATTATAAAGTTCAAAAGAAATGAAAGGTCTGTGTTGGACTGCTACAGCCAGCTATTTCTCACATTTCTGCTCTGTAAATCACTTCCTGTGTTCTCCTTTAAGAAAAAGGATAGTATGTGTATATATATATATATAATATATATATATATATTATATATATATATTATATATATATAATATATATATAATATATATAAATATTATATATATATATATATTATATCACAGATATCACAGATAAATGTGATCAGGGATCTCTAAACGTTATATTTGCTCCTTTCTTCTGTTGTGCTGATCAGATCCGTGACTCCGATCTGAACCGTGAGCTTTATGATCCGTTGCACCCGTACATGTAAGAAAAGGCAAGTTTATTTATTTAAATCATTTCAGCAAGAATTCAAATCACTTCACATAAAACATCAAAAGCCCAAAATGCAAAAGAGACATTATAAAAAGACATTTAAATACATTAAAGAGACAAAATAAAAACAAGCTAAAATAGCATAAAATGGGTATAAAATACACTCATTAAAGTTACAGCACAGTGTTTAATAAACAGGAAAGTCTTCAGCCTTCATTTGACAGAAGAGAGAGTTGTAGCTGTCCTGCATTTTGTTCCAGATATATGGAGCATAAAGACTGCAGCCTAAATAAAGAATGATATGAGATGTGGAGCTCCCTGAATGTTCATGAGAGCCGCACACATCTGTTCTACTCTCGTCCATCACTGGGTGTCTGATAGTCTTTACCTTCCAGTAATATACGACGCTCCCAGACTGCGTTCCTCTCTTCGTCCTGGATCGACAAAGTCACTGTCTTCATGTTGGGGGTCAGGAAAACTTCAAATGTCGGATGGAAATCCGGTCCATACGTCGAGTCAAATAGTTTAAACTGAAAACAAGAACCAGAAGTCACATTGCGTGTCTGAGCGTCTTTTTCTGGCTGGTCTCTGGGGATACCTTCATCCCAGCGTTTCATCGAAAAAACACTCCGAGACATTGCATTACATTACATTACAGTCATTTAGCAGACGCTTTTATCCAAAGCGACTTACAATAAGTGTATTCAACATTGGTTTTCGAGAGAAAAAACTCGTCACCAGAAGTCAGAAGTGCATCTCCTTTCTTCAAACAAGCATCTAAGAGCATAAACCAGAGCCAACGTACAGTGCAGAAACAAACGAATGCAATAAGTGCCACAAACTAATATGAAAACAATAAGTGCAATAAGCTAGTATGAATACAATAGATGCTAAGTAAGTGCTAAGTGGAAGGCTCAGGGTAGGCCTTCTTGAAGAGGTGAGTCTTCAG